CGCCTACACCCCGGGCACTTCCCTTCCGTTTTACTGACGTTCGCCCGTCTCCATCACTTTTTTTTTTCTTCCCCTTTCGCAAGGGGACCGCAGGCCTCTCCCCAGCATGGAGGACAAGTCCGGGAGTGTGACCCGAGGGATGATGCCTCACGGCCTCTCACGCCCCTCAGGGCACTGCCGCCCCTCATATGACCCGCCGGGTTTCATCTAGTGACCTCACACCAGCGGGGAATTGAGCTGCATTTCTAACGCCCTGCTCTCAGGAACCTTTGCACCCCCGTAACCTCTGGCTCCTGGCAGCGGTGCGTCTGTGGCCGGGGTGTAGGCGCAGCCCTGCGGGGAAGGCCGGCGGGGCCGGGGGTGCCGCGGCCTGGCCTCCCGACCCGCCTTCGCCAGCCCCGGGCAGGCCCTGCGGCGCGGTGGACGTGCCTTGGCAGGGCCCGGGGCCGAAGGCTGTGTCCAGACGCCGCCTGGTCACTCGCACGCTTTGGACTCATTAATAAAATCACACCGATGCACAAGGATTTACTGGGCGATAACAGCCTGGCAGTAAACAAACCCACAGCTTGCAGGCGGCGCAGCCTTTCTTGTTGACCACGGCTTCGGAAATACCTGACAGTGATCCCTTTTCAAGTCTACCCCAGGCGTTCAGTTTCTAGGCTCTTCGCCATGCACAGAGCATTATAAAAACGCTAGGCTGTGTTAGGCTGTGCCTAGAAACATCTCACGGGGGTGAAGGAGCAAGAAAAGCCACACGAGGACGTTGCTTCCATCCGTTGGAGGGCAGCAGTGCGTACACGAGCCAGTCCACACCGCCTGCTGCCCTGACAGAGGGACCAAAACGCTCATCATAAACGCAAAAAGATGCCAGGCTGGCTCAGGCTGTGTATTGGTTTAACCACAGGCCACGTCTTAATTAACAGTGCAGAGAAGTGTTATGCAGCCCCAGAGGCTAACGTGCTCACCAGAGCTATAGTGGCTTTCTGCTTTTCGCCTGCCTTCTGCTCACAGAGAACTGTACATCTCTGATTTGATTGTCATGGAGAGGAAGACTGAAACAAACAAACAAAAAACAGGGACAAGAAGAGCTGAAGCCGAAGAGTGTTCGGACGGGATGTCTGTGACCTTAAGAGGCCGTGGCCAGCGCAGGTTTTAAGATAACTACCAGAAAGAAACATCAACTTGGAAAAAAGCTTCCTGAGCCATGATAAGGCCATAAAAATTCCTTTTCAAAGAAACACGTTAAAGGATAAATAAAAAGTCAAGGGTAGTATGAACTAGGGGCTTGAGTAGTAACTGGGTATCAGACAAGGGAGGGATCAAACCTACACTGGAGAACTTAACCATTTCTCTGGCTTTTTAAAACATAATAAAGGAAAGGAGGGAGACAGGGCTAATTAACTCTTACAGACTTTAAAACACATGGAACTGGCACCCAGAATGACAAAGCTGGCTTGAGATGTTATACTTACAGTAATGCAATAGGTTCTTTTAATTTGCTTCATGTCTATGTGACCACAAGGACTGGAAAACATTTTTCTCCTTTACAAGTGAAAGCTGGATTTTTCCTTCACCAAATGAAAAGGACAGGCATGAAAATACAAAAATGTATCTCTGTTGTCATTACAACTCATATTTGCTGACTTGAACCTCAATAAAATACTCCACAAAGGCATTGCTTCCCAATACCTAATTATGATGCAAATTCACCCAGTTATCCAGACAGAGCTGTTGTCCCCTATGACATTTGGATAATCAATCTTCTAAATACCAATTAGGTTTAAAAAAAGTCCCTAGAGGGGTACCGTCTGAAAAAGAAAAACCTCACTTCCCTCAGATCTTTAGATTTTGTGCTTGCAAATCTCTAGCAGGTTCAGCTTTAGTCTTCATTTTCCCTTTCCCCACTCTATTTTGATCTATGAAGGTAAGCAAGCTCTGGCTCTTGGTGCAGCTGCTTTGAACAATCCTGTCTTGATTTTTTAACTTCATTAACCTTGACCCCATGAAGCTGAGCTAAAGAGCTTCCTTCCCTTTTTATAACCACGTTATTCATTTCACTGTTCAGCCTAGACTTCTGACATCAGACTTGGTCATCACTGAAAACTAGCAGTAGTTATCTTTCAGCACATATGTTTTTTCTCATAACAAGAATTAGAATGTGAGATGGGGGTGTAACAGCAAGAACAAGGGATTCACCCTTTGTTGGCCTGGCACATTTAGATAAATAAATAGATATACTTAATTTTCTATGCTGAGGAGGCCTAAAAGATTTACTTCCATAAATTCTGCATGATAGATAAAGTAAGTATAACCCTGCACAGTGGTCCTTTGTACAGTGTCTTTTCGTTAGGGTAAGATGTTCTTTTATTATGCCGTAAAACAAAGTGTCATGGACAGATCTTGGAGTAAAAGGAAAGGATCCCATTGATTGTGTTGGGCTATGGACCTCAGTCATGCCATGACTCCATCTTCTGAGTAGTATTCCCAGTTACAGGAGAAGCTGAAGCCATCTGTAGGGGACTGAACCCAAGCCTTCCAAAGTCAGTATCAATTTTTGCATTGTTTTCTGTGGCTCATATCTTGGATGAGCTCTGTTTTCAAACCATTTTGTTGCCTGGCAGCTCCAGCACAGCAATCACTTCCATCCTGTTCCCTAATGAAATAATTCCTGCCGTGAAGGTTTTCGTCTAGATTTCCAGAATTAGCAATACTGCCAGGCACAGCAGCAGTATCTTCCTGTGTGCACATTTACTCTTCTTTTTTATTTGTTGTCTTGGAAGTATCCCATATCCTTATAGTTATTCAGCTCACCTTCATTTATTGCTTGAGATGTAGCAGGCATAAGGAACCGTTCAGTAGGCAGTTGCAAATTCCCAATTATCATCAGTGGAACTGAGACTGTGCACTGTGAAATGAAAAAGTAACAGGCGCCTGTTACGGTAGCCATTGTGTTAGAGGCTGCAGCAGACCATTGCATCCCATCAAACAGGCTGATACGTTTTGCAAGGTATAGGGCCCTTTCAGCAATCACATACAACATTAAATAGTGATGTTTTAAACATGCCCATGATCCCATCCATTGATGACATTTCAAAGAGACAGTCCAGACAAGATCCTATTCAGTCTGTCCTCAGAACGATTCCTATACTCAGCATTTAATAGCTTAAAACATAGAGGGAGACCAGAAGACATTTTCCTTGAAAGTGATGTTTGTGTAATTTTTAATACTGTTTTATTAAGATTGGCAATAACACGAACATTTCTAGATCACTTACCAAGCTGTTAGTTCACCCTAACCAAACCCAAGGCAAACACAGGTAAAACAGGTGGGAGTAATAGTTGAGAAATTGGAAGAAGGTCCTGTTCATGGCCACCTTCTTGGTGACATGGTTAGCAAAGGGCCACTCAACAGTTCCTCTTCTAAGCACGAGGAAGAGGAAAGACTTTATGGCCTGTGGAATTTGTAGAGCACAAGACAGTCCAATAGTGAAAATGCTGATGTGCTGGTAAGAAAAAAATCACAGCTCTCTTGTGGTCTACATGACAGAAGTTGACAAAATTGGTAGCTGGTCCTCTCTACAATTTCATCCATGCAAGCTCTCCCATAGCAGTCTGTCTGGAGAATAAGAGGATATTATAACTATCTGATTAATACTGAAGTTTTTAGCAGACTTCTCTTTTGCAGTGGTGTGATTCTGGTCACATCACTCAAAGACTATGGTCAGAATATTCAGGTAACTAGCCATTTTGGGTACTTTGATTTTTGAGAAACTTTATGAGAGGCTTGATTTTCAGAGTGCCTACTGTGCCCTCTTTGAAAATCAGGCTACTAAGGAGTTTCTCAGTTTCTACATGGGTACACGTTACAAAGTTCAGGCAAGGACAGGCACAGTACACCCTGACACAGAGTAATTACCTAGAGTGAAGTTTGTTCGGGCTAGTGCCATTACACATCTTCTGAAAGTCTCTGGCCATCTGTAGCTGTTGCAGTAAAGAGAAATTAATCAATGGGAGAATGAAGTGGGCTTTTCTGACTCACATATCATCCATGGAACAACTAATTAAGTCTGAGTCATCGAGCCTTTACCTGAGAAGGTACAAAAAAAAATGAGAACAATTGCACTGTGTGTCACCCAGTCCTCGATTTGGACCAGGATATTAAGTTTCAGATCGCAGCTGTGTCTGTGATGCTAGCACCAGGAAGAAAGGGTTTGTTTCATTTTTGTATTTAGGCTGAGCAAATCTGATTTGGAATTGTTGGAAAACAAACAGCCCTGGAGCATATACTTTTAAAAGGTAAAACTTTTCCAAAGAGAATCACACTTTAAGATTTATTTGATATTGAAAGAACAAAAGAATATAGGTTGTTGGATTACTGGCTGTTTTGGAACAGATCCTTACAAAGGGGCAGAGAGATATCTATTTTCAGTGCATCTTTTTTAGGCAAAAAATATGGATTTAGACTTTACCTTCTACATGTCATAATAGCGTGGCACATTCTTTACTTAAAATAGTTGTAAGAAGGAACAGTTAAGTTCTCAGATGGAGTCAGATAATCTGAAACAGTAATAGACTTCTCACAGGTATGCCTCACTCCCAAGAGAAAGAAGATCTAAGGTGGAGTTTCTTTGGCTTTTCTTCTTCCGTGTCAATTTCTGTGAAAGAGAATTGAAAAGGCAGAGAAGGAGTAAGAGGATCAAGAGAAAATAGCAGTGATGTAGAGGTAGAAGAGACAGAAAGGGAGAGATACAAGGTGAGCACTTGAAGTGTAACCTTGAACAGAGCTAAGAAAAAGGAAAATAGGCTGACAACTGAGTGGAAAGGCATGTGAAGCACTGAACAAAGACATTCCCACTTATCTGATGCCTTTTTTATTCAAGTAAATAGGACTTTGCCTTTTCTGTGAATTACAAACACTGCATCAACAATTATTTAACTTCATTAGCTTTAAAATAATCTACAGCCTTTTTAATGAAAAAAACTGGATGAAAAATGTTAACTTTCATAAATCCTCCATCTTCTTATACTAATGTCTCATCATGATGCTAATATCACACCTTTAAGATATCCAGGACCACTTGCAAGCTGCTTTACAATGCACTTTGCCTGCAGAAAAAAATTAGCTGTATGCTGTCTGGGTAGACATCAAGTTTAACCTGAGTAATGTATACATGTTTGTGTTCTGAAATGAGACAGTCCCACAGAGCGATATTTTTTAGGAATTTTAGCCTGACCTCAATGTAACTCTAAATGAAAAGCAAACTTTGCTACTGTTCACTCTACTCCCTCAATCTTAAGCATTGGATTCTGGCATAATCCAAAACTGCCATTAGAACGACATAATCTTTTTAAGAATCAAATCTTGCTTACACTAAGGCAAACACTTTGACAAATGGGAGAAGAGCACCATCTGGTGACACCAGGCACATCACTATATTCTGCTGCCATTAGGAAATCTATTTGCGGTGTACAGCCTGTATTTTGGAAAGCCTGTCTCAATGTGTTTTAATTCATTATTCAGTTATGCATAAGCAATACAAGAGTGAACTGCCTGAAAACAAACCTGAGCTGACAGTGACCCTATCTCTACTGTCCCTTAAATCACTGAGAAGTTCTTGTAATACAAATCAAACATTTTCTGAATTGTTCTGAGCCATTTTTTTAGGAGGCTTTGGAGCAGATTTTATGGGCACCATGAAATGCAGCCCCAAGTTTTATTGCTCTGGACATTTCAAGGTTTTTCTGTGTGTGATCCAAGTATTTTCTTACAGTGTTCAAGAAACTTGGCTTAGCTGTCTTTTCAAAGATTTTCTTTTTCCCCAGAAGCAATTATTAAGAAAAATGAATTACCTTTTGCCATTCTAGCTATTCAGAGGTAAGGAAAAAGCATGGATCTTAACCTGACTATTATTTGCAAATCATAGCTAATTTCAGCATAAATTGAACCTGAATATGCTAACAAATAATATACTTGATTTTTCTGAATAGGTTCTTTTTCACAATGATGATGGCACCCATTTCATTAAAGTTTAAGGGCAAGTTAATGTGAATTAATTTAGGAATTAATAAAAGCAGTTAGTAATTATAATAAGCTTAGAAAACATTTTATGGAATTTTAGTTTGCAAAGAACTAGTTTTCCAAGGCTGTGGTTTGTGCAGATTAACTCTCTCAAACTTCAGAAGCTGTGCAAACCCCCTAAAGCTCAGGGAACCTTGCCAAAAATTAGATAAAGTTCAAGAATGTGGGAACCATGGAAGTTCTTAACTGTTACGTGGGACTCAAGTATATAATTCATGAAAAACAGGGTCATATAATTACCAAGTTATTCTTTATTTTATCATGTGAACCTGGTCCACATAATACTGATTTAATCTTTTATTTAATAAGATAATAAAGCATTATATCTCCAAAGTGTAAAGTTAATCATCAGAGTCAGCTTCAATGGGGGTTCTTGCTTTTAGAATCAGGTGTCTGCAATTCAGTCTTGCCAAAGATGTCCCATAACAGAAGGATAAGATTTCTCTGTGGCAGATTTATGTGTTCCAGACAATATTATTTCCTTTTCTGTGTGCCACAGAGTGATACTATGGCAAATATCTCGTGCATCTAATGTCGGTCATGTGGTAACTCAGTTTGGAAACAGCCATAGATGCGTGATCCGTCTTTATACTGCACATCCCACTTAGTTGCAGTCATACAGGTAACATTGGCTATCAGTGCTACCTGCATTTTTTTCCTTCACAAGTGCTATCACAAAGGAATCAACTGACTTGAGTTTGGATCTCTTTGAGGCTCTTTTGTTGCTAATTAAAGGACGGGTCATTTAAAAAAGAAACCTCTTCTTGAGTTTAGCATCAGTAATGTTATTAAACAATGAACATTAAAAATTCAGTCTCTCTAAGTAATGTAATCAACTTAAATCAGGTGATTTAATATATCTAAATCATATATCAATATGAAGGTTTTTCTATCTGCTTTTTTTGGCTATTGCAGCCTTGGAGATTTTTTTTTTTCCCCCCAGAAACCACAAAATGAAGAAAACCTTTCTTGTTTGTTTTTTAATTAAAACAGAGACTTTCACCTAATCTCTTGATTCTGGGAGCTGGTCTTTAAACAAACATTGACTATTGCGAGGCCTATAATAAAAACAGGGAGAACTGGCAATGCGTTATTACACAGCTTCACATCCTTTATGCAGAGCCACCTAGGATAAAGATTTACCTCTAAGATTGTTAGCATTTTTCTTATCGGTCAACTCAAAAGCAGCCGTTTGACTGACTCCAGTGACTGTGTTGGATTTTTTTATAGTTCAAGGCTAATGAGGTCTTTTTGTTGTAGAATTCTCCTAGCAATTTATCCACTGTCTCCAATAGTTCATATTTGTGTGAGTTTGAAAGGCTGGAAGAAATATGTTTGGAGTTATACTGCATATCCCCGAAGCATGCCCTCTTATCAGTGACTGTACCTTTTAGAAACCGAAGATGGAGAAGGATGCCTTGTAACTTCCATGACTTTTGAAATTAGGAAGAAAGCTCCTTCAGGTACGCAGACACCTGGGCTATGCCATATGCTGTCCAGTCTAGTTTGTTCGGAGTGGCCATTAAAATTGCAGCTCATTCACAAAGCAAGCATTAAAAGCTCCAGCAAGCTCTGCTTGCCATTGCTGCTGCCTTCTGTCTCAGGATCCATGTTACTTTTGCTTAGTATAAAAAGTAAGTGTGCAACTACCTCTTCTCTCCTAAATCTGCCTCTGTGTGAATTATAACCTCTTCTCGCTTCTTATCTCTTGGCTCTTAGAACTTACTGGTACTCCTTTAGCACCATACCCCTGGCTGTGAGGGTCTGTGACTGCAGAAACATGTTCTTTCTCTTATTCAGACCTTTGGTAAATTAAAACGCCATGCTATAAAACCATCCTTTCCCTGCAGATGGACTTAGCAAAAATTACTTCCTTTCACTTTGGGAAGCCTAGGGTGGGAAGCTGAGCAGTGAGCTCTGAGCAATGCTATAAATTGGCAGTTCAGCACAGTCCATATGGAGAAGAAATGACTGGATCCAGTAACTGCTTCTAGGAGGAAGATGCAGTTGCCCCCTTTAATTCAGGGACTATAACTTCCACAGAGAGAATAATTAACCTTTTACTTTGACTATTGTTCTACTGAGCTTAAAGCCACTTCTCTGTTCTCCTCTCTTCTGACTACAATCTCTCTCAGCTCCCTTTTTACTGCAGATTTAAAGAAAAAATCTGACAATACGTTTTCTTTTTTGTCAGTCTCTGCTTCCCTAGCTGTCTGCCTTGTAGTCAATCCTTCTGCTATAATTCCCCCTTTGTATAGCAGAAAAAATCCTCCAGTTTTCTGATTTAGAAAGTAGGATGAAATGAGCGGCATATGCTGTATCAGAACATCACATCAGGATTCACCTGGCTTTATTTCTGGAAGCGTGTATGAAGTGAAGCAGCATGCTTCACAGTTCTCAGAGAAAACAGGTCTGTGCTGATCTGTGAGACAGAGAAACGTCAAGTCTGCCTTCAGTAAGATGAAGTGAACTGGGGGTTCCAAGGTGAGATGGCAAGCAGCAGCTCTCATGCCATGCAGTAAATCAGAAGTACCAGTGATTTCCCATAACCTTGCCAGCAGAGGCAGAATTTCAAATGTTGAGCCAGTTCTGAAGAGAGACTGGTTTATGAAAGTCTGACTGAATATATGCTGAAAGGTTGTGCAAAAAAGTCTCCTGTTTCACAAGAGAAACCAAAGAAAAGAAGAAATGCATGGTGAAAGGGTTAGTTTTTTAAGTACAAGAGAAACAAAACATAAAGAAAAAACTCAGTATCTCTGGCCTTTGACTTTGGTCAGCTCTAGACCAACCTCTTTCCAAAGTGTTTTACGTAACTCTTTCATTTTAAGAGTATTTTGTTCCATGTCTCATATAGTTCTTCAGGCAATCTGGACTTGAGTCTGACTGTTAATATATTCTGTCCACCAGAACATGCTCTGGTGCTAACAGGTAACCCAACACTGGGCAATACTATTTCATACAAATCTGGTTGCCCCACGAGATGTTGTTCTGCTTGGGAACCAGCATGTTGATGAAGCATCCATTCTGATGCTTTTTCACTGAATTCCATATCAAATTCACTCCATTTATAAGGCAAAATAAGATTTGTCTAACTGCCAGGTCTGCACTTGATAGAGTATCTGAAAATTTAGCTCCATTTTTTTCTGCCATGTAGTTTGTAACTATCTTTGATAAGAACAGATATTCTGAGATCAGGACTGAACTGTAATTTTATTGCTAAAGCATAAGGGGAGATAGACTGTATCTTGCTTTTTCTATAGCAGTATTGATTATCAAAACTTTTAGTAATTTAAAAAAAAAATCAGAAAAGGAGATAGTAGGTGTTGCAATGGGGAAAGAGTTAATACTAGAGTAGTAATCTGCTTCTGCGAAAAGCCTACCCTTGACACTGCAGAGGAAAACTAAACTACTAGTAATAAATGTGTATAATTGTGTAAGACTATCAAGTAAGACCTTTCAAGGCCATCAGATTATCTGTCTAAACACAGTATTTAGATTAATCTTCGGATATCACTTTAGCATGTGCAGTAGTTTTAATGACAGTCTTTTCCAAAGCCTACTGAGGTCAAAGTAAAGTTTTCTGTTGCTTTATATTGAAGCAGGCCAAAGAATTAAGTCATTGAGTCAAAGCTGGATAAGTGTATGTAGGAAGTAATAGAGAATATCATACTTTTACAGACTTCCTATCTCTAACTGCACCCATCAGTGGTAGAATATTTTCCATGTTTTACATCTTTTCCATAATCAAACTCTATTTTTTGAATTCATAATCTTTATATATGGCCTTGTTTGGGTTTGTTTGTTTCTGGATGCAACCCATTACCCCTAGTAAGTGTCCTTCTATTTGTTAAATTAAGTGAAAATGCCACATCAAGTAATTAGACTGGCGAGAACTACCTGACGTACTGAATGACAGGAGCTGATGATCCGTCTGGTCCGGTCCTCTCCACGTAATAAATTGCTGGTGCTTCCATTGCACAGAATGAGACGTTATAATTACTGATTACATTCTTCTGTTCTTCTACGTTCTTTTAAGTTAAGTGGAAAAGATGGGATTTTCCAGGACCTGTTTGAAGGAACATAGGGCAATAGTGCTGTGAAAAGGGTTACAAGGAAGGCTTTCTAGAGCAAAAGGGAGGGGAAGATGCAGAAGGGGAAACATGCACAAGGAATGATGGCTTTACTTAGGTTCGTGGTGCTGGAAATTTCACAAGATGTGATGGTGATAAAATGCTGCCGTGGGTGAGATATAAGCATGCACAGGATGGCACCAAGCAGCAATCCGTACTAGGGGCCAGGCTTCCTCCAGGTTTAGTCAGTGGCCGTTGTAACACCTCCTTTAGTAGTAACCCAGCATCTCCTAGTCTGTCAGAACTCCTGGCAATGGTAGCGGTAGCACAGTGTCCCCTGAGACACAAGCCTTATGGGCAAATATTTCTCTCCTGTCCCTTACAGCACATTAAAATGTGGAAGAGTTAGAAGTGCTATGGCATTCAATACCGGGGCACATCACAGGTTATTTCCCGGGCCTGAGGTACAGTGTCTTTAACAGCAGATGGCAGTGAAGTTAAACAAATGGGTGGAAAGAACCGAGAATAAATGTGTTTTGCCTGCTGGATGGTGTTGCTGCAGATAACTCATAGCGCTCCGTGCATATTCAGACAGTGCTGGGTTCATTTCCAGTGCACAGATCACCCATGGCACATTCAGGTAGCAGAAAATATTAATTCATCCATAGCTGTTTGTAATTCAAGTCATGTTTATTTTGTTCGTCATGTGTTTGGTTGTCGAAACAGTGGAACAGATAAAATCTGTTATTATTTCCATCTTACATCCATATTTAAAACCTATGAATAGCTGAACAGATGAGGATGAAGCTCAGTTTCAAGTGAGTAAACTTTTATTCTTTATTATGTATCTTGTGCTACATCTGAGAGAACAAAGATATATCACCATGGGTTGTTTTTAAAACTTTTATGATGCCAGGATTTTTACCACCAAAAAAGCTGTATGAAAGGGTTAATAGGATATCAGTTTAAAGCCACGAGAACAAAGAGATTGAGAGTAAACTTTTACAGTCCTGCCTTACACTTTACATTAATCTCACTTCTGGTGGAAGGATGGGAGAGGAGGATGTTTGTTTTCCAACTTCCAGCAGGAAAATGATGGAGATGTCAGCACAGATATTTGATTGCAGCTTTTAAGTTCCCTGCCTAAAGTGAAAAAGGGATGAAAAGATATTATGGATATCTACTTAATGTTATTAATATCTTAGTTCCATAGCGGTGTCATGAAAAAATACATGCTTGCGGGGTTTGTGATTTCCAATCAGATGCTAGACCATCAAATTTCTATTTCCTTATTTACTGATCAGCACTTGATCCACCTGAGGAAACCCAGCATGCCTCTCCCTCCATCACATACCAAGTTAATTACTCAGCCCTGTATGATTATTCAAAGCACTTGAAGAGTGCCTTTCATACAGCACTCAAGGCCCAGATCTTCATTTCAAAACCTGTTCAAGACCGTAGCAAGCTGTGGCTAAAGTCCTCAGCTATTAACAGTGCTGATCTGAATGTCAATACTGTGAGAGCAGAAGGAGAGGAACCTTTCTTGTCCCGCTCTTTTGGAGCATTAATGCTCTGTAACACAGACGTGGACTCTGCAGCTCTGTTCCCAAGAGAGGTATCAAGCTAGTGGGACTGCTCAGAGAAGAGAGGGCTTCAAGGCTGCTCTCAAGAGTTTGATTGCCCTTATCATAGCATGCATAACTACATATTGTCTTTCAAAGCTCATATTTACACGTACTATAGCCTGAGTATGCTTTTAATCTTCCAGTTATATTAGAATTTTTGCTTTAAAAATGTGCATGACACCCCAGCAGACATATTTATAACAAGCAAGGGCACAAGTCTCAATCATTTGTGAAGAAGCAGCCCTTCTTAAATCTGTCAATCAGTCCATGCACAAAATGCACAGAGCATCAATTGCTTTTTAGGTTATTTACTGTGACTTATGTATCTGCCAATAAATCTAAAATACAGGTCAAAGAATATGCAGCTCAAGTAAATCCATAAAGCTTTACTAACTACCCCGGATTGCCAAAGCTGAGGTCATTTCCTTGTTGTGAAAAATACTGAGGTCCATAAATTATTTTTATCACCTCTGGGGCAATGCAAACAGTTTCCCACAGATGCTGAAAGTATGATATGTTTTTTATTTAATATCAGAACACCACTTTTACACAGCTCTTAAAATATGAGGTCCAAGATTCTGCTTGTGCATTAAGTCCCCAATTCAGCAACATATTAAAACAGATGCTTCAGGTCCTGACATTAAACACGTGCCAAAGTGCTTTGTTGCATAGTCAGAGATTGCTGAATTGGAGCCTAAAGACTAAATCTTTTCCCATGAAACTCAGAATTTACCTTTCATTTTCCTTCAAGGAAAACAAGGCATTTATTAAAAACAATATAAATAAACATTTAGAAACACTCAGAAAGGCTTCTCTTTCAGAGATCTCTGGGTGAGCAATACCTCTGGAGGTAAACCTTGGGCAAAAGTTGATGTACCATTTTTTTCAAGTGGTGTTTATTTAAGATTTAGCTATCATTGTTTCCATGAGGAAAATAAAACCACCTTGAACATGTAAAGAACATAAGGATGAATGGTGAACATCCTACAGAGAACTTTGTTGAAAACACCACTGAATTAACTTACAGTACATTTGTTAAACATGAGCAGCTCTAATAATGACATTTCATTTAACAATGCCCTTTGTCTTTTCAGTTCATCAGTTACCTATTTCAGTAATGAACTGCAGTCATACCATTCTGATTTTCTCCTAATGTAAAGGCTGAGATCACTTCACTTGCAGTGGAGCGTGATGCTATTATTCTGTTTGTTGCTTAGGAAAGAAGCTATAGAATATATCACAATTGTAATTGGCTAACAAATATTAAAGTCCCTAATTGGTAAGGATACCAATAATTAAAAAAAAAAAAAAAAAAAAAAAAAAAAAAAAAAAAAAAAAAAAGAACAAAAAAGAGGCAGAAATGGTTGAAAATGCTCAGCATATCTATTTCATGAGCAGAGCAGTAAGTATTCATCTGGGAAAAAAAATGAGCCACGCATTAAACGTTATTTTAATTTTTTATCAACAGTCCATGCATAGAACTTAACAGCAACGTTTTCAGTTAGGATGAATAATCTCGGTCACAAAAATAAAATGGAGTTGTCTGCCCTATTTAAGGAGGATTTTCTAAAGAACTAGTGGAAGTCAGATTAAGTGGGTAATGTTCTACTTATACTATGTAAACACGAGACAGATAAAAAATATCATAGGTCTACTTGATATGATCCCTAAGTCTTACAAGGGGTAATGGAGCCTATTTTCACTCATTTGCCTACTTCTTTTGGGGGTTTCTTAAATTTCAAAAGCTTTTTCATCGCCTTTCTAGCTGCAAGAGATATATTTTAACCAAGGCTGCTGTTTTCACCTTTATATTCACCGTGATACATTCAAAATATTTTGAGAGCTCACCAAAAACATTTAATTAGCAGAGACTGGTGTCCACCACTTCATAATCTTTTCCCAGCTGAACCAGATCTGCACAATTTACAATAGATCTTTGGAAAACCGCTTTTTACCGTGTGCTGCATCTATAGATCTCTCTCAATTACCCACAGTAAATTTAGGCATTGTACAAGAGCAAATTTTACAGTCCATGAAGAGATGAAGTGAAATCTAGATGAAATTCATTGTGACAGATCCTCAGTTAGTGCCCTGATGTGTCTGTATTACAGAAGATAGACATTCTATTAGCATGGAAGCTCCCATAATGGACTGTGAATCATTTCAGGTAATAGAGATGCCAACTGGAATGACTGAAAAGCACTATTGAATTCCATTAGAGCTCTTTGTTTTTAAATCAGTCATTTCTTCGTGAATATCCAACTATATACTTCTTGACCCTAGCTGAGAGTAATAATTGTGAACTAATATTACAAAACATTAATCTGAGTTACTGTTCAATTAATGTTTCTGTTCGAGGGTTATTTTTATGCTGCAAATGTGAAGGAGACTGTGGCTTGTATTACAAATACGTATTTGGACTTGAGCTAGTGCAGAATGCAATTTTCAGTTATATTTCTGTCTCCACTGTATTCAGTCTCATCTCATTAGCTGTAAAAAGACTCAGGTATTGGCTTTTTTTTTTTTTTTCTGAAGTCATCCTACCAGAATAAAATAACTATAATCAACAAATCTATAAAGATAAACATTTTTATAAGGGATGCCACAAATAGTCTTCTTTCATTTAGGTGCTTGGTTAATTATCAGCAAAATAACTAACACCATATCCTGTTACCCAAACAGCCCCACCTTATCTATCAATCATGTATGATTTATCAGACTTGATAATTGCTTGGATAATTAACACAGAATTTAGATTTACTCTGTGTGCTGAAACCTCAGAAATGCCTGTGTAATTGCCATTTGTGTAGTAGATGAAGTTATGAATAATTCTTTTTCACATAAATATGAAGGCTGGAGTGCACGCAGCACATACTTCCTCACCCGTTGCCGTTAATGCAGATATCACGTCATACAAGTGCTATGGCACTGTCACATGTTAACTATAGGTATATAATTAAAGTAATTAAAATACATATCTATAAAAATAAGGGAAAAAGCTTTCCCTTTGTAACTACCGCATGCTTCTTTCATGAGGAAGTACAGAAAGAAGATTGAAGGAAAAAGTCTATTCAGAACAGTGGCAACTGGATTTGAATCTCTGTAATATTCGCACATAAATCCTTTGGGAAGACTTTAAAAAGAGTAGGCTCTATATCTTCTGTCTACGATCATCTATTTTCACATCAGAATGAGCAACATTATCCTTATATGCTAGAGTATCTGTCTACAGCTTGAAAATGAGACTCTCCTTAATGTTGTAATGACAGGTGTAAGATTAACTTTGTTAGGTGTCTAGCCACTCATGCAAACTAAATTAAATTAATGGAACAAATTTCTCTCATAATTAAGATAAAAATTCATGTCAGCTG